GAGGGGGAGAGGGAGAGGGAGAGGGAGAGGGAGAGAGAGAGAGAGAGAGATGAGAGAGAAACAGATTTGTTGCCTCCTGTATGCACCCCGACCAGGGATCAAACCCGAAACCTGGGTATGTGCCCTGACCAGGAATAAAACTGGAGACCTTTCAGTGCACAGAATAATGCTCAACCTATTGAGCAATGTTATCTTTTTAAATAATAATTTAACAGATTAAACACAGCTTTAAAAACTTTTTATAAGGAAAAAAATCACAATTTGCAAAGAAATAGAGACTAATATAATAAACCTCCCTGAATACATCATCCAGTTTCAACAATTATCAATTGATAGCCAATCTTTTTTTCATCTATAACCTACCTGCTCTTATCCCCTACCCGCCACTGAATTAATTTGAAGCAAATCTTAGACATAAATATTATTTTGTCTTTAAACATTTTAGTAGGGATCTATAAAAGATAAGAGCACTTTTTAAAATATAATAACAAAATATCCATTAGCATAGCTAAAAAAAATAATCTATCAGTAATTCTTAATATTATCAAATATATAATCCTTAAACAAACAAAAGAAACCCGTTTGTTTTTCTGACTTTTACATCAAATTTCAAGGTTGGAAAGCACATGTGATATTGTCATCAATTCAAGGTCACTGATTATTTTGTGTCAGAAATGCTATAGATCAATATTCAGAAAATGAGAGCAGTATGTTTTATCTATTAATTGCTAACAACAAAACAAAGCTTTATAAATAGACTAAAAAATAATCAATTGAAACAAAAGTACTTAGGCTATCAAACTATTCAAAGTAGGCCAAATAATCCTAATAATATAAACAAGTTACTACCTCACACCCATTAAGGTGGCTTCTATCCAAAATCAGAAAATAACCCTTCTGCACCTTTGATGGAAATGTAAAATGCTACAGCCACTGTGGAAAGCAGTATGATGGTTCTTCAAAAAATTAAAAATAGAACTACCATATGATTCAGCAATTCCATTTCTAGGTACATACTCAAAAGAATTGAAAGCTGGGTCTCAAAGAGACCAGTACATCAATGGTCAGGCAGCATTATTCCAAATAGCTCAAACATGGAAGTAACTCAAGTGTCCATGGAAAGAGGAATAGATAAGAAAAATGTGGTGTATAAATACAATGGAATATTATATGCCTTAAAAAAAAGAAATTCTGACATTGACTACAACATGTATGAACATTGAGGACATTGTGCTAAGTGAAATAAGCCAGTCACACAAAAAAGACAAATACTGTATGATTCTACTTACATGAGGTACTTAGATGTGTGGCTTATGACCTAATAGTTAAAGTTAAAATTGAAGTTTACTATGAGAATGCTCTTCATTTATATAAGGTTATTAACCAATGTTACCTCAATACATTTAATAATTAAAAAAAACAAAACAGGTTGTCATGAGAGCCCTGGCTCTATACTTTTCAAAAGTGAAAGGAATAAAATCCTAGTAACAGAATGCAAAGATTTTATAATTTTTTAAAATATATTTTATTGATTTTTTACAGAGAGGGAGAGCGAGGGATAGAGAGTTAGAAACATCGATCAGCTGCCTCTTGCACACCTCCTACTGGGGAGGTGCCCGCAACCAAGGTACATGACCTTGGCTGGAATCGAACCTGGGACCTTTCAGTCCGCAGGCCGACGCTCTATCCACTGAGCCAAACCAGTTAGGGCAGATTTTATAATTTTTAATACATTAGTCCTTCATTTGTGAAATTATCAGTGTTTATTATGAGCTTTGTAGAAATGAATATGACACATATCCCATTTTTATAGATCCTAGTTTAGGGGAAATGAATCATCTAAATATTCCAAAGAATATTAATAACCCTAAGGAAATTATGAAGCAGGAAAGGTTTTTCTTCAGAGCACTCAAATCCTCTCAGGGATTGAGTCCGAGACATTTTATTAGTTTGTAAGCAAGACTTTTCTCACCTTTGGTTATAGGCAGAGCTGTTACAGGATTCTACAGGTCTTGGTTCACATCAGTAGTCATTCCTGATTTATGAACTTATTTCCATGATTTTCTGGCAGATGGCAGTAAAATGGCTTGAGAAAGTGGTTGTTTTTTCTTTTTCTAATTTGCACAAAAACATGATTTGGGCTAGTGGCAAGGCTGGTATGTGCTTCTGCTCCTCTACTCTGGGCAACCTAACTTGTAATATACTACCCAAAGCACCCCAACAGCCCTCCAAGGGCCCTAGCCCCACTCATATCCTAACCTTAACCCAGCAGACTATGTCCCAGAAAACTTCCAACGTCCTGGGATTAACTCTGTCATCTCCATTCAAGGTCTTGCTATCATTTAGCAGTCAAGACAAGGAAGTCCATAAGCTAAATTGTGATAAAAATGGAAATCAGTCTTTGTTCATGGCTTTCTCTCTTTGGACATTCAAAGTCATAATTCATAGAAGTGTGTGTGTGTGTGTGTGTGTGTGTGTGTGTGTACGTGTAAGAGAAAAGAAGAGGGAGGAAGAGGGAGAGAGAAATCAAGTAAAGTAATAACCTTTTAAAGATACAGTATTCTTACTATGATTACTATAATCCCTTGCTCATCTCCATCTCCTATCCCAGATGAAACTCTTTTAACGTTTACTTTTCCCCCCCCTGGTATTTAGATTCATATGTCTAAGTAATCTGTTTATACTGGTGTGTCTTATTTATCAATTTCAAATTTATTTATTAATGTCCCGTAATGGTAAGTTAAGATTTATATTTCTTCTACTACCAATCCCACTTTCCTTATATCTGTCACTCTCCCAAGATAGTTCTAATGCAAGTAGAGGCCCAGTGAACAAAATTCGTGCATGGGTAGGGTCACTAGCATGTTAAGCGCCATGTCAGTCACCAGTGAGTGACACTATACTTTCCGTCCAAAAGACAAAACAGGCTGGGCGCTTAACGTGCTAGCAGCTGCCTCCCTTCCCCTAGCCACCTGCCACCACCGCCGGCAGGGCGGGCTGACTGTGGGGAGGGGCTGCAGGCAGTTGGCCAGCCGGCCTCGTCCCCTGGTTGAACTCCTGGTCCAGGGGACAATTTACATATTAGGCTTTTGTTACATAGGATTTTTGGTTAAATTGGTATTCAGAGTTACGTTTGCATGTCTGTGTAAATGTTGACACTTCAGAGTCATGTTCTTTCCTGTAAAACACTATTTTTCCTAGAATTAATCATTGCCACATTTTGTCATTTCTTAACAATAACAGCCTCATTTTATAATTTCTCATGAAAAATTTTATACATGTTCCAGCATATCTGTCAAATACCAGTATTTTCCAGTGCTCAAACATATCAGATAATTTATCAATTCTATTTTTTTTCCCAGAGGCTACCCCCAACTTCTGCTCAAATCTTGATTGATTGATTGTGGGTTTGTTGCACAGCTATCATTTAGGGTGTCCTTTCGCTATTACTCTGGGACTTTCCTTTGCCTCCTACCTGTGTCAAATCGCTTCCTTTCTGTGGTCCCTGAAGTTTGTGATCAGAGGTACTCTCTCATCTGTTGCAGTATATTCGTCAGTAGTTTCCTACAAAAGCTATACATTTGAAGTATCATTTGTCTTCAAATGTTTTTCTTTACCCTCATACTTAACCATTAATTTGTCTAAGAGAAATCATTGTCTGGGGTGGGAGGTGGAGGAGGAAATTTGGGGACGGGGGATAAATGGTGGTGAAAGGAGACTTGACTTGGGGTGGTGAACACCCAGTATAGTGTACAGATGATGTGTTGACAAACTTGTACACCAAAAACTGTATAATTTCATTAACTAGTGTCACCCCAATAAATTCAATAAAAGGGGAAAGAAGAAAAGAAAATCATTGTCTCAAAAATGAAGAATGGCTTCATTTTCTCCTAGGTTGCTAAATTGCTTCTAACCAGTCAGATGCCATGCAGTTCCTATTCCCTTGCCTGTGAACTGATTTGAAATACACTTTCAATATTCTTTCATCCCTCACGTTCTGTAATATGATGACTATATGCCTTGGTGTGGATCTCTTTTCATTTATTCTGCTGACACTTAATGGGGTCCTTTCAATCTGAAGACTCATGGCTTCAGTTCCAGGAAATTTTATTGTGCTCTTTTTCTGAAACTCCTCTTTCCTCAAATGTTCTCCTACATTAATCCCTAGAATGTATATTACATTTTCTTTGTCCTTTTATATTATTTTCTGATAATTTTTCATCTCTTACTATCTAACATGTTGCTTTTTTAAAAATATATTTTTAGCCGAAACCGGTTTGGCTCAGTGGATAGAGCGTTGGCCTGCGGACTGAAAGGTCCCAGGTTCGATTCCAGTCAAGGGCATGTACCTGGGTTGCGGGCACATCCCCAGTAGGAGATGTGCAGGAGGCGGCTGATCGATGTTTCTCTCTCATCGATGTTTCTAACTCTCTATCTCTCTCCCTTCCTCTCTGTAAAAAATCAATAAAATATAAAATAAATAAATAATAAAAAAATAAAAATCTATTTTTATTAATTTCAGAGAGCAAAGGGGAGGGAGAGAGAGAGATCAATGATGAGAGAGAATTATTGATCGATGGACTGCCTCCTGCATGCCCCCCACTGGGGATGGAGCCAGCAACCAAGGCATGTGCCCTGACCAGGAATCAAACTGTGACCTCTTGGTTCAGAGGTCAATGCTCAAGCACTGAGCCAAGCTGGCAGAGCCATATTGTTGATTTTTTTTTTTATTGATTTTTTACAGAGAGGAAGGGAGAAGAATAGAGAGTTAGAAACATCGACGAGAGAGAAACATCGATCAGCTGCCTCCTGCACACTCCCTACTGGGGATGTGCCCACAACCAAGGTACATGCCCTTGACCAGAACCGAACCTGGGACCCTTGAGTCTGCAGGCTGATGCTCTATCCACTGAGCCAAACCGGTTAGGGCCATATTGTTGATTTTTAAGAGCTCTTCTTTGTCATTTTCATTTCATTCTGTTTTTGTTTTTATTTTTTAGGTGAGGAAAGAGTGAAAATATGGAGCATATAAAATGGAGTCATTTTCACCGAGCTGCTAAAATAATTAACATATGAAGTTTGAGGCATTTGGAAAGACATCACCCTTGTTTAACTAGCCTGGGAACTTCAACTTTTTTTTAACTTTCCAGTCCTGTATCAATGCCTGGATATACATCTGGACCTCTAGGTAACCTTCTAATTATCCCCTGAAGGGCTCATGTACCCAGTGATTACCCTCTGAAATATTCACATATACATCCAATCAGACACCCATTATCCAGACCAGTCTGGGACTGACCAGACTTATTGGCACCCACCTTCCAGACCACATGGCATGAATCATCCTGACTGCCTGACATCCTGGACCAATCCTAGGTCTAAGAATGGAGAACTGATATTTCTCAAGAATGTACCTTTTACTATAAGAAGTTTTAAACTTTTCTTTCTTCTTTGGAAAACATCTGGGGTTTTGCCTAGCTGTGTATCCCATCTGCAAACTCCAAGACCCTTGAACAAATCTCTATTATTTATTTCCAACAAAGCCTCCAGACTCTTTTTTTTTTTTTAGTTTATTTAACATAGAGACGCAATATTTTACAGGAGGTTAGGTCTGCACCAGGACATTAGTATTTGGGGATCAAGTCAAGAAAAGATGGTTGGCAACCTCCTTTGGAGAAATATGTGGAACAAATACACTTACATGCTTTCAAAGAAGATCACCAGGAATAAGGTAGGATCAGACTTCTTACATTTCAAAGAGCTTCAGGAGTGCCCTGTTTAAATCTATGGAACAACGATTTTTAAAATTCAGATACAACTCAAATAGATCCCAGCAGGCATTAGACAATCTAATGGATAGAGAGTGATTTCGAGCAAAATAAGACTTTCTTATTATTGAGCTCTCACCAATACCAAAAGATAAATTCAGATTTCATTTTGACTTCTAATTTTCTGGCTACAGGATTCCTTAGGTTCAGAAGCAACTCATAGTGCTTCACAGAGATGATAGGTATGTGCTCAGCTTGTTTTGATGTTATGCACAATAATAATTGAGGTCCACACATTTTATCTTTTGGAATGATTTACCTTCGTTTTTTTCTGGTTTATGACCCTTCCTTAAAACTAGACTGAACTTACATTTTGTAGTTTCCGACTTTTTTGGTTTTTAGGTCTTTCCTAAAAGACCAACCAAGAAGCCAAAAATCTTGGCACATTATCTGTCAAATTAGCCTCAGATTAGTCTCTCTCTCTCTCTCTCTCTCTCTCTCTCTCTCTCTCTCTCTCTCTCATTCTTAAGATAATCTAACTCTATTAACTTCCCTTTATGAAGTTCTAGAATAGTTTGGATAGAGACTAACATCACAGCATACAGTAGAATTGCCTTTAATGTGAAAATCAGAGGTGACTGGAGTGTTGTTTAAGAAGAATAAAGGATAAACAGTCTGACCTTTTCTTTCTAAGACAATGGAGCCTGGCATGTACTGATTATTCAGACACAGCTCTCGGGCCTGCCTCTAGCAGTGGCTGAGCCATTTCCTCCCTCCCTGGAGCAGTCACTGTCCTGAGTCACTGCCCTGCTGTTGCCAGGTGCTTGTTTGCTAAGTAGTAACACACTACACCCCCACTTCCCCACACAGAGTTCTGGGGAATTGCCCCAATTTTCAGCTCTGCTGAGGTAGTTTGTGACTCATCCTCTTTTTTTCTTTAGTGACCTTTTGAAGAGACAGGAATAACCCCTATTTTTATTTTATTTTCTCAATTTCTCTCGTAGGTCTCTTTTGATTTATTTGAACACAAGCTATAATGAAGTCTAAAATCAATAACTTTGTTTTGAACACCATTTATATAACTGGCTCTCTATTCTACTTTCTCAGTCAAAATATTTTCTTTCCAGTGGGAGGAAAAATAGTGCAGGAGGAGCTTATTTCCTATGGGAAGTCAACTATATTTCCTGTTAAATATAATCAATAATTGTCCAAATTAAGGTATAGAACTGCAATCTTAGGAGTTCTACTTAGGTTCTGTTTACTCTTAGCTTTACATACAATACCTCTCCTGGAATGACAAGTATTGTCAGTGCAAGCAGAGTTGAAACCACTAATCTTTGCATTAGTCTGTAATGTCAAGTGATGTTTTTAAAGAATCTTAATTCCAGTATGTATAGTTTATATATTTCTTTGTTTTCTTGTTATGCTTTAAAAATATTATCCTATCTAATAATAGAGAAACATGGTAATTAGCTATACCTCCGCTACCCTTCCCATTGGCTAATCAGGGCGATATGCAAATTAACTGCCAACCAAGATGGCGGCCGGCAGCCAGGCACCTTGAAGCGAACAGGAGGCTTGCTTGCTTCAGTGACGGAGGAAGCCAACGTTCCCCGCCTAAGGCTGCTGGCCTCTGAGCTTGCAGTTTGAAACATTGTTACAAATATAGAAGCTAAACAAACCCCCAGAAACCTGCTTTCAGCCAGCCAGGATCTCAGAGCTGGAGTTGAAACAGTGTTTCGATTATAGAACCCAAACAAACCAGATACCTGCTTTCAGCAGCCAAGGCCTCAGAGTTGGAGCCAAGCCTCAGAGCTAAAGCTGGCCCAGAATAAAAAAAAAAAAGAAAAAAAGGACAGGTTGGGAGCTTCAGTCACCTGCCAGCCTGAAAACGGCCCTCAGCCCCTCACCCAGGCTGGCCAGGCACCCCAGTGGGGACCCCCACCCTGAAGGGGGTGTGACCAGATGCAAACAGCCATCATCCCTTCATCCAGGCTGGCCAGGCACCCAAGCGGGACTCCCACCCTGATCCGGGACACCCTTCAGGGCAAACCAGCCGGCCCCCACCCGTGCACCAGGCCTCTATCCTATATAGTAAAAGGGTAATATGCTTCCCAGCACCGGGATCAGCATGACAGGGGGCAGCGCCCAAACCCCCTGATCAGCCCTGCTCTGTGCCTGATAGGGGGGAGCTCCCCAACCCCCTGATCGCCCTGTGGCTCTGTGTGTGACAGGGTGCAGCACCCTAACCTCCTGATAGGCCCTGCTCTGTGTGTGACAGGGTGTGGCACCCCAACCCCTCCCATGGGCCCTGCTCTGTGTGTGATGGGGTAGAGCCATAACCTCCCCATCAGCCCTGCCCTGAGTGTGACAGTTGCGGTGCCCCAACCCTCTGATCGGCCCTGCTCTGTGGGTGATAGAGGGCGGTGCCCCAACCCCCTGATCCGCCTTGCTCTGTGGGTGACAGGGGGCGGTGCCCCAACTCCCCTATCGGCCCTACTCTGTGCGTGACAGGGGGGAGCTCCTCAACCCCCTGATGGGCCCTGCTCTGTGCGTGACAGGGGGGAGCTCCCCAACCCCCTGATCAACCCTGCTCTGTGCGTGACAGGGTACGGAGCCCCAACCCCCCTGATGGGCCCTGCTCTGTGCGTGACAGGTGGCGCCGCAACGCCCCATCGACCCTGCCTTGAGTGTGACAGAGGGCGGTGCCCCAACCCCCCAATCAGCTCTACCCTGAGCGTGACTAGGGGTGGCATTGCATCCTCCCGATCCACCCTGCTCTGTGCATGACAGGAGGCGGCGCCCCAACTCCCCAATCGGCCCTCCTCTGAGCCCGACCAGGGGCTGCACCTAGGGATTGGGCCTGCCCTCTGCCACCCGGGAGCAGGCCTAAGCCAGCAGGTCGTTATCTCCCAAGGGGTCCCAGACTGCAAGAGGGCACAGGCCGGGCTGAGGGACCCCCCCTACCCCCCGAGTGCACAAATTTTTTGTGCACCGGGCCTCTAGTAATTAAATATTCTTCACTTTTTTGTTTATTTGTTTTTAAATTTTATTTTTTTATTTGAGAGAGGAAGGGGAAGAGAAAGAGAGAGAGAAACATCAATTTGTTGTTCCACTCACTTATGCATTCATTGGTTGATTCTTGTATGTGCCATGACCAGGGATCGAACACTCAACCTTGGCATATTGAGAAGATGCTTTAATCAACCAAGCTACCCAGCCATGCCTCCTCCTTTTTTTTTAGAGTTGAAAATCCCCTTACCAATATTTTTTTTAATATACTTTATTGATTTTTTACAGAGAGGAAGGGAAAGGGATAGAGAGTTAGAAACATCAATGAGAGAGAAACATCAATCACCTACCTCCTGCACACCCCTTACTGGGGATGTGCCCACAACCAAGGTACATGCCCTTGACCGGAATCAAACCTGGGACCCTTCAGTCCGCAGGCCAACGCTGTATCCACTGAGCCAAATCGGTCAGGGCCCCTTACCAATATTTTGTTAAAATTTTTGACATGCGCATTAGCCATTTACTCTCCTATAAAGTGGAAAAACCCATGTGGAAGATATGTTTTTGTATATGTACTTAATTTCTATCACTAGCTCTGGAGTCAACTGGATTAGAAAATTTTAAGCAGCCCAATTTTGTTGGAACATAAGGTGTGAAGGTGGTAAAGGCAGGAGATGATGTAAGAGAGAAGTGTTAAAGAGCTTAAATTTTGTTATTTTAGAGTATGTCATAGGATTGGAGAAAAAGACTGGGTGTAATCTAATTTTAGCAAATCTAAAATCTAAATTACATCAATTTTCCTAAATTCAAGAAACAATATTTTTAAAAATTTAGAGGAAAAAGATATAAGGCTCCTCTATAATTCAAGAGGGCTTAAAACTCCAAAAATATATTTCTCATTACATAATTCAAAGGACACTAGTAATCATACTTACACTATGTAGATGCTCTACACCAAGCATGTCAAACTCAAAGGCTAACGCGGGCCAAATAAATGAGGCATGCGGTCTGCGGGCCACGGGTTTGACATTCTTGCTCTACACTATAGTGTTATTGTTTCAGTATATGCATGAGTGAATGGGAGATATCAAAAGAAATAAGATGATTCACAGGGAATTTTCTGGTAATCTCACATTTAATATATATA